ATCAGCGGTTCCCAATTCCAGTCCTCGCACCCCTCCCCCACACCCCGCACATTTCATATGTATCTCTTATCACGTGCGACGTTTGTTCTATTCGACCGTAAGTGCCCTGCGAAGTGGACATCACCGGATATTCCGCCAAGATTCCAGTTCGAAGCGAGCGTATAAGTTCCATACAAAGGGCATTAAAGTGTGCGAGACGTAAATTTAAATAACGTTAGTGTTTACAGAGGTATATTATGTCACACTTCACACTTCTCTAGTAAGTTTCATCTGTTTGTGAAGACGCTGCACAGCGCAAATCCATGAATGAATGTTCCGAAGTGAAGTAAACTTCAACGGATTTCCCCTGCTCAGGGAGCAGGGAGTAATGAACACTGTGTAGGGAGCATGTCAATCGGAACACAATTCATGCACGTAGCTCTCTTCTAACGAGCTGGTTATCTGAATCAGGTGTGTTAATCGGGTCATATGATGTTGCTAAAAAGAACATTATTTGGTGTATTAGGTGTAATGAAATGTGTTTATCGGAACACAGTTCATGCACGTAGCTCACTTCTAACGAGCTGGTTATCTGAATCGGGTGTGTTAACTAAGCGAGACATGCAAAATATGCAGAGTGGGGTGCGCGAGGACTGGAATTGGGAACCGCTGGGCTACATCATGTGTCACTCACCGGTGAGAAAACTTTTAAAGTACTATACCAGGAAGGAAGATCGGGTTGTTTATGTTTGTCTGCCATTGCCTGACGTATCCTGTCTGCGCGAACCGGGTGCGCAGAGGTATGCTAATACATATGTTGACAGGCAGGTAGGAAAGCCAATTAAAATGCTCGGATCGAGCATTTTGATTGGACGAACATTTCTTGGTCCTACGCCTTCCACAGAATATATAAATACAGATATATACATTTATACCACTTAACTTAATGATTGCTATCGGGATGTGAAGAGACTTTAAACCAGCATAAAAAAAAAATGTTTCTGAAGACAATCACCTATTGCACCTTTAATTAAAAAAAAAATACGTATTGCCTAAAGAACATTAAAAGATGACTCAAATTAATCACAAACCATCCAGAAAAAGAAACAATTCACTAAAATGAATCCTCAGTGCAGTTATTCAATCTTCTCAGTGCAATTTGAGACAGAAAATGTCACTATACAACAGGTTTCATGCTAAACTGAAAACTAACAACAAGTTTAACAATGGAAGCAGTACCTTGTTATTGTTTTGAAAAGTGCTGTTTTTCATTTCTGGTCATGCCACAAACCTGTAACTAAAGTCTACTAAACAACTTTACTCAAGACAAAAATTGGGGTAGGAGTAAAATGTACAGTCCATCATCACATTTTAAAATCTGTGATTTAAAAAAAATGTAATAATGTGCGACTAATACTGTTGTCTTTGTGCTCCAGTTTAGGAGTGGTGCTTTAGATAAATACTAGTCCTCTTCACATTCACCCTCTCCACTTCCCTGTGACCTCCCTCTCCACTGGCTCTGTTTTAGATGAGTGCTAATACTGCCCATCATTTGGAGCACTGCTGTATGTGTGAACTTCCTGCTGTTATTTTTGGCGTGCTTGTTTCCCTTGACATAACACTTACCGCAGTTATGTGGTGACGGAGTTGATGCAGAGTGACCTCCATAAAATCATCGTGTCTCCACAGCCCCTGAGCTCTGACCACGTCAAAGTCTTTCTCTACCAGATCCTCCGAGGTGAGATACACACACACTAAGCCCTTTATTTAAAAATTTTATTTCAAAAGTTTCACCCTCAGAGTTCAGACACACACATTCTCCACGCTGAGTCTTTCTTCACCAAATCTCATGGGTACAGAACTACACAGACATTCACACACACCTCTCTACTTCATGTTCCTTACTATCATTTTCACACCAGAGAAAGTGAGGAGGAAGAGATGGACCACTCATAGTGTAAGAATACGAATGGGAGAAACAAGAAACAGCCTCTTTGATATTTTGTTTACTGTAGGACAGCTGACATGTTTCATCTGATTCATTAGGAATAAGGTTAACTGGTCCCTATAAGACATAACTTCAGTGTTTTGAAGTGACACAAAGCTTTATTACATCTTAGAGGGAAAATGGTTTAGAAATAAAAAGTCTGTTTATATGTCAACTAGATTACATTTCAAACCAAACAAGAGACCTGTACAGCATAACAGTGCAGTCTGCTTCATATCAATACAGTTTGTGTCCACAAAATGTCTTTAATGACTGATGTATATGTTGTGTCCGCAGGACTGAAGTATCTACACTCAGCTGGCATTTTGCACAGAGACATTAAACCTGGTAACCTGTTGGTTAACAGCAACTGTGTGCTTAAGGTTGGTGAAATACTAGTCAAATTTTTGATGCGTTGACGATTCTTTCTATTCTCGGTTTTGCTTCAGTGGTTATTTTTAGAAATTGACCCTGTAGTTGGACTCTTAAGACAGTTGTTTATATCAATTATTTTATTTAAAATCTAGCAAACTTCTTATATATATACAGTATATGTGTGTGTGTGGGGGGGGTATATATATATATATATATATATGGTTTATATAAGGTTTCCACAAAATTTCAAAAAAATTCAGAAATAAATTATATTTTAAATCGAGTTTAAAATTTTAAATCGAAATTGCTGAACATTTTTTCAGCATTAATGTTTTACTGTATTTTTTTATCAAATGAATGTAGTCTTTGCAAGTATAAGATTTTTTAAACAATTAAAATTTTTAATGTACTTTTAGTACTTCAACTTTTATTTTATTACAGTTAGTTGCATTTCAGTTTTTAAGTTTTAGTTTTTCATTAATATTGATATTTTATTTTAAATCTACAATATATATTTTTTTATTTCTATTAATGGAAATAACACAGTATAATACTAAACAGTCAGGTGACTGAATAATTGGCTCAAAGTGACAATTTTGGTCTCTCAAACACACACAGCTATTTTTTATTATATAATTTTAAAATGTGTCATTTGGATGTAACAGCTAATGATAAGTCTAAGAAATGAAAAGAAATCTATCTATATATATATGCAGGTACATATATGTGAGATTTTGCCTGTTTAAGTTTTATTGTACTGGTTTCTTTTGTCTCTCTGCTCTCCTGCTGTTTTAGCATTATGTACTCTAGCCTATGGGCCTTGAATTCTGTCTTTATAATTCCTTTCTTCCGAAGAGCAAGGACGCTTCATATCTGTCTGGCCAGGCCAGGTCTACAGCGCCAGCGTACACACACTAACACACAATCTCTGGCTCCAGGGGGTCAGGGCCCCTTTGGGATTGATTCATCTGCTCGGTTCCTGACATAAATCTTCATTTTGGATCCCATAGAGAGAGCCCAGCTGCAAAAGTGAAAGCAAGGTTGATATGGGAGATACAGAAAGAGAGAGAGATAAAGAAAAAGAGAAATTCTCTGTGTTTGTGCGTGCTGACTTCACCCAGCAGCATGAGAAATGTGCTTGAGGGGAGAACTGGAATAGATTGTGCTATTGGACCACAGAGAGCGAATCATTTAGCATGCGCTGCTTCATTTAGCCACATTTCCGAAAAAGAAGAATGTTTCTCTCATTTAGCTATTATATGCGAGACCTTATCTTATGGCCATGTCCTGCAATCAAACACGCTCAAGTCTGATTTAGGTTCAAATTTGATTTATTTTATATCCATAACATGTTTACTATTATTAGTGTGTGCTCTGAGACTCTTTAATATGCAGATAATTGAGCACACTCCTAACCATATGTATTACATTTCATTATGTACCATGAAAAAATTTCACAGACTTATCTTTAGCTGTTCTTTCAAATTACACATCATAGATAGATAGATAGATAGATAGACATAGTAACACCTTGGCAGCTTGTCACTCTTTCCTTAAATGGTGGTGTTTTACTTGAATGGAATGTAAGAAGACACAAGAAATTGTTTCAATAAAGTGCATGTTTAAGTGTTGCTTGCAGGATTTGAATTCATCTTGTGGGAATGCATCAAATTAGGCCTCTGGGAAAAACTGGGTGGATCTACTTAGGTAAATTGTTAGTAATGCATGATAAGCCCTTTTGTGCCTTCTTTCTAAGAGTGGGTGGAGAGAAGAGGCCGAGATATTTTTCTCATTTATTTATTTCCCAGGAGCACTCATGCAGCTCAAGATGATTGGAAATTGGGACTTGTGTTTATAGCGCTTTTATTGTTTATCTGTTTGGTTAAAAGGTGAATGAGCCTCTCCATGTAATTTTGGTTTTATTGCATAATTTATTGAAAAATAAAAAAAATTCAAGATCTTCTCCATGCCTGTCTATAAATGCACACCTCAGACTTTACTCATCAACCTATTAAGTGTGTACATAATCCTAAATTCTGCACAGATTTGTGACTTTGGCCTGGCAAGAGTGGAGGAGCTGGACGAGTCGCGTCACATGACCCAGGAGGTGGTGACGCAGTACTACAGAGCGCCAGAGATCCTGATGGGGAGCAGGCACTATTCCAACGCCATCGACATCTGGTCTGTGGGCTGCATCTTTGCCGAGCTGCTTGGCCGACGCATCCTCTTCCAGGCTCAGAGTCCCATCCAACAGGTATTCACCTACGCTCGTGTTCAGCACTCGATCTGTAGACAGAAACCTGCCTTTTCACACAACTCATGTGAACATGTTCCTGTATCAACATTAGTTATTGTTCTTGGAACAACATTCTTATCAGAACCTTCTGATTGTTGGTGTAGGGGTAGAACAGCTAAGGTGAACATCCAGGACATTATGTCTTTGATATTGATCTCTTTTCCTAAACTCACAGACTGTTTTAAGGGAAACGTCTAACTGCTCTCTTTGTAGTATTTGTGAATCATTGCAGATTTTGGATCATTTGGCCTCTCAGATGTGTTAAGTAGACCCTTCTTTATCAGGGTCCACAATTAACACTCACCAAGCGCCAAAAGAGTCAAAATTGGCTTTGGCGAGTAAACAAAAAGCTTTCTAACCAATTTGGCTTCTAACTTCCCTAGGAACTGCAGCATATTGCATGGATTAAATTGCAAGAACTGAAGCCTCGCCTTTTTTGTCTGACATAAATTATGTGACTCAAGCAAATGAATAAGCTGTTAAAGTCACTAATCTTTTCATAGAGATTTTCTTGTTTACATTCTGACAGCTTTTACCTACTTAAAATGTGCATTATAGCATTTTGTTTTTCTCCAGAAGTCTACGTGGTGAAATATTGCTCACATTAAGCCACTAAAAATATTGTGTATATGACAACTGGCGCTGTTCATCACAAATATACAGTAATAAATATACCGTATATATATTTTTTTAATTCAGAATACAGCTTTCATGACCAGTAAGAAGTATTTTCTATACATTTTTGGTGTTAAATATTTATATATAATTCTCCATTCATTTGCCATTCATTTTGGAGCCATTACTCAATCTGGTATTGTTTGGATTCCTATTTTTTCCCCTTAAAACTAAAAAGAATTTAATAGAATGGTTTGATATTTAATAATTCAAGAAAAGTTACAATAGTAGTGCTATTATAGATAAAAGGCTTTGTAACATTCTTAGTGAAAACAGAAAATCTTAAACACTGATGCTAAACATGTGACCTTAACATACAGTATTTTTGGCAAATGTTGTACAGCCATGCTAATGACCGAGCGGGGGCAGCTCAAGGCTCTGTTGAACTGAAGCCCCAGTGTGGCCGTGACCCAGAAGCCCTCTGTCCTCCATGGCTGTGTGTTTGCAGCTCAGACAGCATGCCTCTAGCTTTCACACATGCACAGAGGCCTCTACTATTATTTTGTTCAGAGTCTCATAAACATTAAGTATGATGCAAGTAAGAAATTCTTTGAGAAGTACATTTACAGACACACTTTTTATTTTTATGTATTTCACACAGAAGAATATGAGCCATATGTTCTAATAATACTGGCCCTGCAGTGTGTCAGAGACTCTGGGACTGGCTGTTCCTCAGTGTGTGTGTGTGTGTGTGTGAGTGTGTGTCCACACAGCCCTGAATGTGCACCGACAGCACATCGACATCCCCTTTAAGGCTCATTAAATTCTCTCCAGTAAAGAATTTGATTTACTTGAACATGGTTCTGCTCCAGTTTGTTAATGTACAGATCATGAACATTTATCTAGTTTCTTATTTTTCCCTTTGTCCTTCTCCGACTCTTTTATTATATTCAGTTATTTTGTGTTTTAAATCAGAACTTTCTATTTATGGTTATTTATTTACATTAGTTTATGTCACATCCTTCTGAGACCCAACTGTTTTATGATGACATAGTTATGGCGTTTAGAACCAAAGTAAATTGCAAAAATAATTGTTATATTAAGTGTTATTTATTATTATTTAATTTCTTGTTTAGCATATTAGTCACATCCCTAAATATGTGGTATTCCTGAAAAGCAAAATAAAAAAATAAAAATGTACTACAGTGGCTAAAAATTGAATTCCTGGATTTCAGGAGAATATATGCTCATAAAGTCTTGTTTTATACATCTTTTTTACAGCACTCATCTGCTCTTCCTTTTCTTGTTATATACTAGCTGGACTTGATCACAGATCTGCTGGGGACTCCGTCTCTGGAGGCCATGAGGACGGCGTGTGAGGGGGCCAGAGCTCACATCCTGAGAGGACCACATAAACAGGTGAGTCTGAAATTGAACAATGTCCTAAAAACTAGGCACATGGTGTTCAGAGCAACATCATGAAAGACAATGACTCATTAGTGAACAACATAATTATGAAACAAACAGAACAATGTAATTATGAAAATAATGAAATATTTATATGGAAAATAATAATAATACGGCTTGTCTGTGGTTTTTAAGTGTAAAAATACTTTTCTTTTATCTCCAGTTTAAAATGCAGATACTAGGGCGGGGCTATCTGTTTGTCCAGCCAATGGCAGGTGGGGGGGGTGTTTGGGAAAAGTTTTTTTTTTTTATCATTCGTTTTTCAGTTACTAGTGGCTCACAAGTCGCATACTTCAGATTTTATCTGCTGCTGTATTCCTTTAATGTGTCCTTATGAATTTATGAAAGTCTAGAAATAGTTGTTCCATCTCCAAGTGCCTTTTGGTTCCTTTGCAGCTCATTTGATAAACTGAAAAGCTCATGGTTTTGAGTATATAGAAAGCTGTTCTCAGTGTGCAAGTGGGAATATGTGCATGTTTGTGAGTGTGTATGTGTGATTTGGTGCTGGGTGTTGGCTCTGTGGCTCTAGACAGCTACGCTGAGAAGGCGATACCCTGCAGTGAACAGGAACTGCAGCGCAATTACTGTGGACCTTTGCTTCCTGCTCTGCATCGACCTGATGCCTGGTGACTCACCAAGAAGCCCACCTCCTTTGCACACAGGCATACAGACATGCACCTGCTAGGCCAGAGAAAGTCTTTACCATTTAGGCCTATATGTAAAGAGGCACTTGTTTCTCCAGTCAACATTCGCCAGCCTTAATCCCAGCCAACTACCCACACACACTCATACTGACATTTAGCTGACCTTGTCACTCGACGCTGCCTCCTGTGTGTGGTCGACCGGCCCTAGAGCAGGATGTTTTAATCATGTAGATCAGCTGAGCTTCCCGTTACATGTAGCAGGTTTTGGAGACTGAAAGAACTGGGGTCTCTGATGGGTCTGAGGGGTATTGTGATGACACCATTCTTCAAGGATCTGATCATATGTCTGGGTCAGTGTTTTCTACAGCTTTCTGTTTTTAGGTAATTGATGTATAACTTGTCTGTTAATAATAATAATAATAATAGAATTGCCGCTAATTCGAAAGTGAAAGTAAAATGCGCGCAACGCTTTTAAGCTATTTAAAAGCAAAGGAAAGGGAGGAAAAGAGGGAACACCCCCGCCCCCACGGTGATACCGGTATTACCGGTGTTGTCACACGCCGATTAACCGGTGGGAAAACCCTAAATACTAGTTGTTGTTGTTATTGTATCATGAGTATAAATATAATAAAATATTATTATTAATTATTATTATTATTTGTCTGGTAATATTTACTATTATTTTGTTATAATAAATAACAATTATATAATAAATACAATAAAATATTATTTATCTGGTAACTTATTACCTATTTATCATCTATTATTTTATTTACTATTATTATTATTATAAATTATTATATTTTATGATGATATTATTATTATTATTAAGGTATAATGAGTAAACATATATAATAAAATGTTATTATAATTTATTATTATTTGTGTGGTAACAATAATATTTACTATTATTTTGTATAATAGATACAAATATTATAATAAAATATTATTTATCTGATAACTTATTACCTATTTATCATCTATTATTTTATTTTGTATAATAAATACAAATATTATAATATCTAATTTATCTGACAACTTTTTATTAGCTATTTATCATCTGTTGTTTTTATTTACTACTATTTTTATTATTATTATAAATTATTATATTTTATGATGATTATTAAGAATGATATTATAATACATTAAATAAATAAATTCATTTGCAAATGTTTGGCAACATTTTTTTTTTTTTACTATTTATAATATATAAATAACTTGGGCTATGTAACATACGTTTTTGTATTAAATGTTATTTCTTTTTTATTATTTAAATGTTAATATCTTACAAATCTTTAGCAGTAGTTAAAAACTTAAACTACTTAATGTCATATAAACGTCCTGCCTGTAAGTGAGTCAAATGTTAACTACTATGACAGTTTTACTAAAAAGAAATGTTGTTAGTTTTTAAATAGAAAAACATGTTGTCTGTTCAGACGGCAAACTCTAAATAGAATTTCTTTTACCAAACTCTCTCTCAAAAGGCAGGTCCTAAGAGTCCTAAAAGACACTTTTAGTTATAAACAGTTTTTTTGTTTACTTAAATGTTATAACCAATCTGTGTGAACGCAACCTGAGCAGGATGTGTAATCAAGCTCTTATGGGCCTGTTTTGTTCTCTTTATAGATAACTATGCGTTTAGTCACCGTTTGATGGGGGAAGGTTGGAGAAGTCAAGGCAATGAAGAGCTTTTAGATGGCTAAGGTGGCTTTACGATCAGACTCCACATTGCTGGAGTCTTAATGACTGGTGAATATGGCACACCAGACCTCCACCTCCACTTTTGTGAAGGTGAAGAGCTTATCAAGAAGGCTTTTGAGTGAAAAAGATGGCAGAGAGAGGAGCGGGTCTCCAGAGAGTCTGCCAGAGCGATTTCAAGAGGCATTTCAGCGTAGTTCTCAACAACAGTGGTGGGAGATGTGGTATGCTTTAATGCCAGTGCTCAAGATAGAGGCAGTCGCTCAGGATTTGCCTGAGTGGATAGGCAGGAGGAAGAATGAGACCAGGTTTGTCCGATAGAGAGCAGAACTTGTGAGATCTAAATAGAGGTCTGACTCTTAAGATCAACTTGGCTGCCTCCACAGGGGACCTCATTACTTCTATTAATTTTGCAAGGCTCTTACCATCACTAGAAAGAGAGGAAGCTTTTAGCCTCTGCTGGAGTGGGAGGATATAAAGAGACCCTACCTTAACTGTCATATAGACAGAGAGAAAGAAAGTGAGAGGTTGTGGTGTATCTGCTCTATTGCAAAGTTCAGCATAGGTTGTGTTTTGGATGCTAGTGTGTTTGTGTCCTTACCAGGCTTCTTAACTAGCTTAACCAGCAAGAGCGCATTTGTTAATCAGCTTTAACAGAAAGGCCACATTGGTTAATCAAGGACCTCTTCCTATAAGAAATACAAGCAATAAACAAGATCCCTTTAAAGGTGACATATCATGAAAATCTGACTTTTCCAGGTTTTAAGTGCTATAATCAGGTCCCCGGTGCATCTACCATCCAAGGAAACGTGAAAAAGATTAACCCAGTAACTTTGTTTTGGTAAGCCTTTTTCTGCAAGCATCTGAGAAAACGAGCGTGTCTGATTTCATTCCCTTGGTGACGTTGCAAAGGGATCTCATTATAATATTACCACCCCAGATGTTTTTAGCAGGTCTGAGCTGTAATGGCGCAGCTCTATTCTGGAAAAGGGGGCGTGGAGCAGCAGCTCATTTGCATTTAAAGAAACAGGCCCGAAAAACAGCGTGTTTCTGCTTCCACTTCAAATAGGCATTTTCAAAATGATATAATAAATTATCTGTGGAGTATTTTGAGCTGAAACTTCACAGACACATTCTGGGGACAACAGAGACTTATATTACATATTGTAAAAAGGGGCATAATATGTCTCCTTTAATATATAATTTGTTCCTCCTTGGCAACAGTTTAATTGAAGATTATATGTAGACTTCTGCATCAAGTCAACATGAAATCACACTTGACCCAATTTAGTTCACTTAAAAATTTAATTATTATTGAAAATAATAATTTTTCATCATTTTCATAATTGTATTATTTAATATTTTTTATTATTTTATTATAGAATCATCTATAATAATAATAATAAAAATAATAATAATAATAATAATTTATTATTATTATTATTATTAAAATATAATAATAATATTGTAATTTTTTCATTATTAGTTGTATTATTAATAATATTGGATCGAATTGTTATGCAATTATTAATTATGCAATTACCACCTCTTCCCATTAAAACTTTTCTCTTTTTTTGAAGTAACTCATCTTGGTTACTGCAAATATAAAATAATTATATAATTAAATCATATTATTAATATTATTATTATTATTGTATGAATTATAAATAAACAACAAATTAAATTAATTATAATTTATTATTGTATTATTAATTACAAATAATTATTTAATATTAGTGTAATATATTTTTTTTTACTATTTATAATATATAAATATCCCATGCTATTTAACATACACTTTTTTTTATCAGTTTTCAATGAATGTCTATCTTAAACTGCTTATTGTCATATAAACATCCTGTCAGCAATGGAGTCAGATGTTAATTTGTTAACTGCTATGACGGATTTATATGTTAGGCTGATCCAAACTGATGACTTATGATTCTTTTTGACTGATTCATTAAAAGAAACTGCTCATTAAAGTTACGTTTATATGAATTGAACTGCACTGGTCATGCTGTATGTTTGCTTTTGTGTGCAGTTGGGTGAAGACAACACAATAGAAACACATGTTGACTGCAAACCTGGGTAGGAGAAACACCTTGGACAAAACTGATACTTCTAATTGATTATGCTAGTGCCTCCTCTGCCCATTAAACCTTTGCTCTTGTTGGTCGTAGGCAGAGTGAGCGGAGTGGAGCTCCGCTCACATACCCTGGTCGTAAGTCACCTGAATGTGGTTCCACCACCTGTCTGCTGTGGATGTAAAAGCCAGCAGGGAGCTCTTGGAAACAGATGTATGCTCGGGTCCATGCTGATTTTTCCGCTTTAGCAGAGAGGCAACATGATCAGATCAGATTTCCACCTACACGCTCTCCCACAGCACACACACTCAGGTCAGAAAGTGATGACCCCAGTGCTGGGTGGGCTTACAGTAAGCAGGGAGAATGAGGAGAGGGGGGTGTTGTTTAATGGCTTTAGGGGGTCTTGCATGCTGACCGAGTGCAGAGCTGGAGCAGATGTGGCCCATCCCATGTCACCAGGGGCTGCGTAGCCTGATGTCTGCCCCAAACTGAACTCTGTGGCACCTGCTAACAGATGGTGGACGTT